GTATTGATTAATTACCATTTTTTTAAAATCTGTTTAATACTCTCTGTTTTGTGATTAAGCTCAATGAGATTCAAGAAGCCAGTACAAGCTCAATCATCCTAGAATCAGATGCAAACAAGATGTTTCAAGAGTAAGCAACAATTACTCATTTAGACTTTGTTTTATGGGATAATTATAGAAACTACCCCTCATCTTTAGCTTAGTTACAAAACCGCGCAGTTGTGTTTCAAAATTACAGATACTCCTTCGGCATTTCAAAATTATGGTTCCAAATTAGGGGAAATTTAGGTGCTGTGTTGTTTGTGATTATTTTGAACTTAAATAGCTCTGCTATTTCTGATATACAAGTATTAGTTTATGAACTAGGATCAACAAGTTCATTTTAAGCAACAAGATTATACTTATTAGTACACAATCTCATGGGTTTTATTTTGTTTAATTTGTTTTTCATTGTTCTTTTCTTTTTGGTCATATATAAGATTGAATGAGTCAGGTCTCCATGTTTGAGGCCATGAAAACTCATGAAGGATTACTGAGCAAGCATGGGGATGGAGCAATTTAAATTTTCTTTTCACTTGTTATATTTCTCAACTTTTGATGAATGGTTGTGTATCCCTTAGCACTTGGTGAATTTTCAGGAGTACTAACTTGTTGCAAGAAGCTAATTTCAAGGGCATTTTTGTCCTTAAATGTATTGTACGGTGATATACAACGTAAAACAATCATATTGATACTTCATAGTTTCTTTAATAAACAAGAAAATATATATAGTGGCTTGTTTAAACGAAGTCTAGTCTTGTTGTGAGAACCGTATTTGATGTTATATTTAATTGTAAATGATACACGGTGCTATCATTTTTACAAATATCAATATAAATTGTATGGCTAGTTTTAATAAAATATATTTCAATTTAAAATAGTACTACAACACAATCAATAATAGAACTATGTACCACTAAAAATAGTAGTTCTCACGCTAATACTTGGTTCTAATTTGAATAGTATGCTAAGGAATAGGGTGATCCATAACCCACGTAGTACTTTTCTTATTAAGATACCTGACTCTAATTTTCTTGATGTTCCTGTTGTCGTCTATAAATACATCATACGTGGTCTCATTCTCTTGCTAAGAGCACTCAAAATTTACGCCACCCTCATATATATATATATATATATATATAGAGAGAGAGAGAGAGAGAGTCGTGAGGCTTGAGTGAGCACGACGAAAGGAAAAGCCGGTCACCACATATTCGGAAGATCGTCGTGTGTTTGTCCTATTTTTGCTATCTTTTTCTTTGTTTAATTGTTAGTTTTTACCCCCGTTTTTTAGGAATCTTGTAGTTCTTTTGGTCCCCCAGTCGTTCGTTTCGTGTGTTTGCCGTTTATTTCTTGTTTTCGATATTTTCTGCTCTTTGGTCTGTTTTCGTGTGTTTTTCTTTCGTCTTTGGTGGTGTGCAGGTTCAGGTTTTTCATAACGCACTTAGCACTATCGAGTACCAACGTACGTCTCGGTTTTGAACACAAATCAGCCCGAGTCAGTTTTCCAGCCGCCGCGCCGCGGCAGTGTGATTGCATTGGAAGCCCCGCGCCGCGGAAGTGCCTCGACCTGAACTGAGACTCTGGCACATTACTCTGCCGCGCCGTACTCCCTGCCGCGCCGTGGTGAAGTGCTCTGCCGCGCCGTGCTCCCTGCTTCGCGCCGTGGTGAAGACCTCTGTCGCGCCGTGCTGTAGCTTCGCGCCGTGGTGGAGCCATCTGCCGCGCCGCGGTGGAGCCTCGCTCCGCGGCGCCTGATATTTTAAATCATTGAATTGTCTGCGTTTAATTAGGATCGGGAGGGTTTTGATATTAGGACGGCTTCAGACTTCATTTTTGGTCGTACTTTATCATTCTCAGACTTGTGATTTCGTTTTCCTTCACTTCTAAAACATCTTTCACCTAGTTTTCATTGGATTTTGATCTTGGATTGTGAAAGCACCAAGATTCGACTGGTGAATTTGGATTATTCGTGGATTCTCGACATTGGTTTCATACTTAATCGTAAGCTTTCTTATTTCATTTTATCTATGATTATGATGGCTTGGATTGATGTGTATGTTGATGTTGAATTGATGATGAGTAGCTAAATTCGTTAACTAGGGTTAGGGAATAATTGTTTCGGTTCAATTTCGTTTAAGTGAATGTTGATTGCTCAATCTATTCGAGTTATGTTAAACCTAGGGTTGAATGATTGATCACCATTTTAATCCATTTAATCAATTCTTAGAACCGAAAGGGGAGAAATCGATCGATCTAGGCTCGTTTAGAATAGACTTGTTCGGAGACGTATTGTCTATGTGCTAACTGACTCGATAATTGTTCGTTTATGTTTATTCTCTTGTTACGTGAGTTATTGAGAGTAAATCTTTGATGAGTAGTGTTTAGAGTCCTTTAGCCGAGTAGTTGATTGCCCGTTAAATGCATTGAGAACCGGAAATGATTGTCCCGGACGCCCTAGTCCTTTTACAATTATTTGAATCTTGTTTGAAGTTGTGTGATCGAAATTGCTTGTTCGAGTATTATTAGTTGTTAATCGCATAGTTGATAATCAAAGCAAACCTTTTGAATTAGAGTGTTTAGGATTATTTTCTCTTTTTGTGTGATTGAATAAGCGTGCAAACTAATCCGACCAACCTTCCTTGAGACACGACCCGGTGTTCGAATCTTTCGATTCTACTCCGGTAAAAATAACTACAACATCGTGTGCACATCGCCCAACCACGGTACAAGAATACAACAAAAGACATTTAGGTCAAGAGGCAGATCCATTCGTGTGGTCACGTAGATCATTATAAGTCGTGTCAGAGTCAATATTAACACAAATAGTAAGATTTGATACCAAACATTACATCATCTGGGCTTAGGATTCAATTTACGAACAATTAACTGATATTCTTCGACGAACACAATACTTACCAGATTCGGGCTGAGTTACTCGTGCATCTTCTTGACATTTGCTCGGATTTTTCTTAGATTCCCTTCTACAATTCTCGATTTTTCTTAGGCATGCTCAAATTTCTGCACAAGAAAAACAAAACAAAAAGTTATGGTTTGCAAGAAAATGTGTTTAACTATTTTTGAAGGAATGATTTGCAGAAGGAATAATTTAATTTTAGGTAATTTAGAACTTATCCCTTTAAAATCTATGTTAATCTTATTTGAGGAAACTACTCTTTAAATCAACAAGATGACATTTAAATGCCCTTTAGAGCATCGACAATACTTTGGGTTCAATCCCAAAAAATTATGTATCATCTAAGAAATAGACCTAGCCTAAAAAAATATATTTTCCAATGCAAATAAAAGTAGAGTGAGTCCTGCGGATGAGGCACCCAGAAAAAGAGACTCGTCTACCCTTAAGTCTATTTTAGACCCAAGTAGAGATCTAGTCTCTTTGCATTGGAGTTGATTTTGTTACTTTTACATAATTTTATCCATGTCATCCAAGACTTGGATTTATTTACATGCCACATAGGCAAGATTAGACCCAATACATTGTAGATACTCTTATGTGCAACTTTTAATAAGCCGACGTATCTATATATCTATATATAATAAGAATAACCATTTACTAAAAATAGTAGTAAAAAAATTTGAAAGCATTTAATGCATACCTTTTTTTGGAAACTTTTTAAATATATGCATTAATTTTTTCCATATACACGTTTTCTAATAAGATCAAATCAGAGATGATCAAAATATTGTTTTCTTAAATTATTTTATTAATATCTGCAACAATTTCATTGATATTCATTATAAAAAGATTGATTTTTTGCGATTCATGTTGATAATATTTTGGGCAAGATAAATATTACAACATATTTTAAGTTCTAACCATATCCATTATATATATTTTTTTTCATAAATATTCACTTTTTATCTAAAAATATTTATATAAAATCATAACAGGTTAGGTAGAATTTTTTTTCCAATTAATCAAGCGAAATAAAGTTGGTGAATTAATCTTTGCTATTTCTTAAGCTTTGTTTTGTTTTATGTAAAAATAAATTATTCTTCAAATTAATATAATTTACCATTTAAGAGATAATGACCAGGTACACTAAATAGTTTTACCTATGATAAAAAGTTAAAATTGAAATATATTAACTGTTCTAGAATTTATTTGTATATTATTGGCAACCATGATTATTTTTTTATCATTTCTTTTATTTGATTTCTTTCCAGAATGAAATTCTTATAATATATATTTTCATTGTAGAGTATGCTAAATAAACTATAAATCCTTATAATGCAAATTAGAAAAATCTTGATTATAGAAGGGATTGAGTTTTTGGCATTTGCTAAATCAAAATTGTTTATTTAGTATATAAAATTAAATTCTAAAAAAACATGCGTGTATTTGTAAAATATTTATATATTATTTAGTTTTAAATTTATTTGCATATTTTAAATTGATTACATAAATAAATAATACTAATGTGCATTAAATATTTTTCATTATATAAAATAAAAAGAAAAAGAAGACGTACAACTTATATAACTTTTATAAATAATAATGACTTTATGTGACAACAAAGTTTATAATAAAATAATAATAAAGTATTATATGATGAACAATAATAAGTAAAACTGTTATTTTCTCTTATATCAAATAATAAATATATATTTTAAAATAAAATTTATATTAGTATAAAGGTGTTAGTGAGATAATATATTAATTGTTTTACAAGCTAGCCCTAACATTTCATATTTAATGTTCTGGCTAAAAAAACAATAGTGATTAAAAGAGGTGAAAAATAAATTATAACCCTATTGTTTTTTAGAGTTAACGCTGATTAAAAGGGGTAGAAAATAGATTATAATGTTATTAGTTTTTAGACTTAGACGGACAGAGTCTGTAAAAATAATTTATTTAATATCTCTATCTCGTGCATCGCACGGTAGTTTACATATATAAAAATTGGTTTTATATGTGAAAGAAAAATATAATCACATTGTGTGCCATATAAATTTCTCAAAGGGAACCAAATAAAAAGCTCAGTTTTCACTTAAAAGACCAAAGAAGAAGGCCTGGCTGATATAACGTAATGCGAGTGAAAGGCCCAGTCTGCTTGGACTCCATTTGGAG